CCCCCCCCCCCCCCAAATCGAGTCCTTTGTAGAATTACTAAATTAATAATATTCTAATTAATGTTTGTTTAGGAGATTTAAATATTTTGCTTAACCGAAATAGTAAATCTGACCAACTACTGTAACATTTATGAAATGCAATTTCTGAAATATTTTTACCACATAAAAATTTGCATAACAAGACATCATTTTATGAGTATATTACAATTTTAATAACCCAAATGGTGCGGCCTGGTGGTTGGATAGAACAAAATGTTTTCGATCAATCCAGATTCAACCCCCATTGGACCAAATATTACAAAAAAAAAATTACAATTTTATTTCAACAACTAGATATATATAGTAGTATGCGTAAAATAAAATCGCATACTAAATATTGTTTCGTAATAATTGTTGACACCGTTAAAAGAAATTAGAGAATAGAAAAAAAATTTATATTAAAGTTTTTATACTTTTATATTGTAATTTGATGTTATACTATTTGCGATTGACGAGTCTACGTTAGTCTATATTTATTTTAATTATTGTAGGTGTTATTGAATAAAATTTAATTATAATTCTTGATTTCATATACATAGGTATTTTTAAGTAAACGAAATGTGCAATTTATTTTGTTAAATTTATAATCGATGGGCAATTCCTGAAACTTTTAATTTGTCCACTCGCTATTTGTAATTTTAGTGAAGAGAAGGGGCAGAAAAGTAAATAAAATTAAGCAGATCATAAAGTGGCACGAACATAACGGTGGCAGGACGAAAAGGTAAAGTGAGACGATGACCTTTTTCTCCCCCAACAACAACATAAAAAAGTTAAAAAACGCGTAAGAAAAAGAAAAGATTGACTTGTAGACCCCAAACTTACGATTTTATCATTTAAACCCAACATCCGCTTAATATTTACACATACTGTCATGTAATTGGTTATATAGACAAATAAACCAGTTTGCTGACCAATTCAATCAGTAACGAATTATGAAGACATCACCATCGATGGATGACTCATTTGATGTATGGTTGGCACCATAATAATTACACAATGATATGGAATTTTGTTAGAAAATATGAATTTGGTCCTGAATTCGCCCGTCCGACACGGTCCAAGAATCATTCGAATTGATTGCTTTTTATCATTATAACCTATAGTTTCCGTCAACTTTTATCAAACCTCCTTGATACCTTCATTAGGACAAAAAGAAAAAACTTGATAGCTTTCATTTTCAGTTCAAATGTTTCCCAATATCATCACACAACTGTAGCTTCATCGTTGTACAATAAAATGTTTATTCATCTAGTGTAATGTTAACAATTTGAATGTAGTCTCCGATTTCCTATTTTCTTTTTTCATTGATTTAACAATTTGAATGTAGATAATTTTTATATCAGTTGCATCTCAATTTTACATATCAAATCGAAATTATTTCTTTTTAACGCTGATTATACATATATATATATAAAGCGCGTATATTTAGAAACAATCATATTTTTGTTTTTGCCATTTGTAAACCATGACAGTTTTGTAAAATTCTTTATGCATATAGAAAATGTATCAGATAGTAATCTTAGGGGTAAAAAAAATAGATTACATCATGCATGTATTTATATATATTAATGTATCAATAATAAATATACTGATATTTAAATGCGTATATATATAAGTCTTGTTCGAAACTACAGGTGCCATTCAACTTCTGAAAATGCCAAGTAAATGTTTTGTTCATACTTATTTTTTTTTGTCATATGTCATGATAATGATAATGATATCAGTAATTCAAATTATAGTTCCATAAGGTACAGTTACACGATATTATATCTTTTTAAAATTAATATATATCAATCAAAAGTATTACGATATGTACATACACACACACACACACATATATGTATTATACCACAGGAATGAGTCATGTCGTTAGGGGGTGGTTTTAGCAAATAAAAAGGTATTGGGTATAAAATGATTTTCATAAGAATAAAAGGTTACAAGTGCAAACAAAAACGAACGATATGGGAGTGTGACACACGCGACGATGCCTCGCGTGAGGGTTAATTTGGGACAAGACGCCAACGTAAAGTCCAAAAGACTTTCTAGCCGCAGCGAATGGCGCCTGAAATCACGTGACTGTATACAGGCACGTGACTCTCCTGTCCTCGAATTAATGATAACCTAATCATCATTTAAATTCACTTTAAAACGATAATAATCCACTGCATATCTATATTAGTTATTTTTTCTTTAAAAAATATTTATCCGCCAACTGTTTTTGTTTACTACAAGTGGTAAACCTTTGGAAAGTTGATGGAACGAATTCACAATATATATATATATATATATATATACGTGTGCCTTTAAACCAAAAATATAAAAGTAATATGTAAATATACAATTAGAGTTTAAGCTTAATTACGTTATTTTTATTTTACGATTTGTATAATTATTTATTAAATGACGAATTGAGATTCTGACGCCACGTGGCAATACAGTAAGTATACGTGGCGCGACTCCATCAGCCGCAGCTTATGTAGCGGGCTATAGTCGCGCGCAGCAAAACGTAATTTTCAAAAATATGCGTTTTTCAATTATTTGATTCCCAGCAATTGATATATAAATTCATTTATATCGAGATAAATATGTTTTAGCATTCACATTATTTTTTCCCGATATTGGTAATATCGGAACTGTTTACGTTTTTAAACTCTAATTTATTTAACATGTATTTTAAATATTTTTTTGTAATGGGTATTTTAAATATTTTGTGATAAACTTTTCAATACAAAGTACTAACACAAAATAACAAAAAATTAAAATACTATCACGTTAGATGTTATGTAAACCGTAATTTAGTCATAAGCGCAAAAGCAAATTAGCAGGGAATAAATGAATGATGTCACTACCACGAAAGACAAAATGAGCAAGTGAGATGCGCAACACCATTTAGACGACGGTCCATTTCATGTAAAGTTTATAAAGTATAATTAACAAATTCAATAAGATTAAATTTTTTATATCATTATTTAAATCTATAACAATGTTCTGTTATGCGTGCAAGAAAAAAGTGCAATTTCTGCAATATTGTCCTATGATTATGCTGTTCCCTATTCACACATTTTTGCTATTATCTTGTAAATAATTCTAATATATTGTTTCGTAATTATGTTCTAATCGATCATATCTTGTAAATAATTCTAATATTTTCGTTTCTATTGAATCATACAAACAAGAACATATGAGAATATTTTATTGACGATGCGTCTAACGTGTTTTTTGGTTGTAATAATCAAACAATACCATATATTCCAAGGGGAAATAATCATCACGAAAAATATTATAATTATGATATAAAAATTAAAAAATCTCAAATAATTAATTCTCCGTCTGATAAACCTCTATATAAAGGGCGGGAGCTGAGTGGGATGATGCAAGGTGAGGTTGAGAGTTAATTCACCCAAAAGAGAGAGAGAGAGAGAGAGAGTGAGGAGAAAAAAAGGAGAGAGAGAGAGAGAGAATTGAGTGACATTAGGGTTTTAATCATTTTTCAATTAGGGTTTTTGTTCAATTAATTCATGATTTTTCTAAGTTTGTTTTATGCTGTGCTTAATTACGTGATTATATTTGTGACATATCATTATTAATTTTATTTTATGTTTGGGTTTGTGAAAATATTGATCGACTTTGAGGGTAAATTTTTTGTTCCCTCACAAAGTTGTATCATTTGATTATATTTTCTTTTTTTTTTTGTATAAATTTCAGTGATTTGATCTATGGGGGTTGCTTATTATAAACCTCTTTGATCCTTTTCCTGTAAAAATTTAGCGAAAAGAAACCTGTTGAGTTTTTGCTGGAAAACAGGTTTAATTCGTATATTTTTTTTTAAATTTTTTTTAAAAATCTAGAATCTCAGTGTTCTGTAATAACCATTTTGTGTTTTATAACCAAATGGATTTCTTCTTCAGCAGCAGCAGCAGCAGGGGCAGGCCTGGGGGAGCAGCAGCAGTGGCAGCCATGGCGGCGAGCTAATGGAAGCGCTTCAGCCTTTTTACAGAAGTGCTTCCGCGTTTGCACCCCCTCCGGCCGCGCCCTCAGATTCCGCGTTTGCGTCTGCGTCTGCGTCAAACGACCCTCCTGTTTCTTACTCTTCTTCTTCCTCGTATTACCCTCCGTGCAATTACCAAACCGAGCCCGGTTTCTACCCGGATCTCTCATCCGGATCCATGACCCACATATTTTCAAACGGGTCGGATCTCCATCAACCCGGTTATCAAATCCCACCTCAAACCCACTTCGATTACACCTCCGATTTCACCTACTCCCACCCAGAACATAGCAATTCCATGCTCAATTTCATCGACCCGAGTTCGGTTATGTCGAACCAGCCCGGTTACGTTCCGGTTCCCGTTCCGGAGCCGGGTGCGAAGCCCGCGAAGTTGTACAGAGGAGTGAGACAAAGGCATTGGGGCAAATGGGTCGCCGAGATCCGACTACCAAGGAACCGGACCCGGCTCTGGCTGGGGACCTTCGACACGGCGGAGGAAGCGGCTTTGGCCTACGACCGAGCCGCTTACAAGCTCCGAGGCGACTCGGCCCGTCTCAACTTTCGTCCCCGCCCCGCCGCTGACTATAGCGAATACGCGGCCCTCCACGCTTCCGTCGATGCCAAGCTCGAGGCCATCTTGTCCGAACCCAAGAACCAGCCCGGAAACTCGGAGAGTCAGCCAACGAGGAAAAGGGGTTCTTCGACGTCCTCCGCCGTCGGAGAATGTTCTCCGGCGGTGGTGCCGCCGCGGATGAATTCCGGGTCGGGTGAGAGTGACGGGTCGGGTGAGTCATCGCCGGTGTCGGAGTTGATGGTGGCGGAGCCGCCGATGCCGTGGAACGAGAACTTCATGTTGGGGAGGTGCCCCTCTTACGAGATCGATTGGGATTCCATTTTATCGTGACGGAAAAAAAAAGGGGATTGGAATTTGGGTTTTGATTTGTTTTTCTTTTTATAAATTATTTCATTTGTAATTTTTGTAATGTTGTGTCTTAAGATTAGGGTTTTAGGATTGTGGTAAAAAAAGTGTTTGGTGGCTGCAATTGACGTTTTTGCGAATTGCGGGGCCAAATGCTAAATCTGTGAATTAGGGTTTTTATGATTTTGGTCAGCTGTTGTTTTTTGTTCATGCTGTACCAATTAGATCGATATTTTTCTCTTGTTATTTGGCGTGAGTTTTGTAAGTTTTTTATGTTAATCTTTAATCTAATTGTTTGTTTCTCGTTAGGATTTTATTTCACGTCATCTTTTTGTAAAATATTATCAACATTTATATATATATACTGTAAATATTATATAAAAACCAAATGATTAAAAAAAAAACGACTGCATCTTCTTTTATATATAAATATGGACTATGCGTTAACTACTTGAGCAATGCTATCATTAAATTAAATAATTTTTTCTCTTTATTCTTGATTTTGAGAAATGATGTTGGAAGTCATTAATAAAAAGAGAACTTGGATCTAGAGTTTAATCTCCGTTTATAAACATCCTACGCATGAGATTTCATTGACTTTTTTGTTATATTTGGAAAATTTAATTAAGAAAATAATTTCAATTCCATCTTTTTTACAACAATACTTTTTCCAAATTCATTATGATTTGGAATAAATAATTGATTTTTTTTTTTAGAAATTCAAATGAGCCAGGTTAAGAAAGCCCCCGTTTATACGCATTGTTATTTAAACAGAGATTTTTTTTTTTGGTTGGACAAAAGGCGCTTAGGCTAACTTTAGCTAGAAAATAGGATTATTCTTTAACAATTGATTTAAGTATATAACTATCACTTTGTTCATTTTCTTAATTTCGGATATTAAATTGGAAACTACTTACATTTTAGATAATAAATATGTTTATGGAAGAATAACACCTCTTTCGCCATTCTTCTATTGAAAGCAATTCAAAGGAGGGATCACAAAATACTTTAAAATTAAACGAAACATTTGAAGGTAAAAGGGCGACCTTTTTTATTTTTTTATTTTATTTTCTTGGAATTTGATTTTTTGGAGCCTAATTTTGTATATAAAAATTCGATTCACAAGTTTTTTTTATATATATATAAAAAGAGGTAAAACAAACAGTCAATGTAGAGCCAGCCAGCAAGGAGAAAAGCCGAAAGTGAATGGAAAGCAGATTTAGGTTGAAACGTACCGTCTCTTAATAAAACCAATAGAGAATTATGATTTAATATAAACTCATTAATTAGAAACACGTTCAATGTCATTAATTTTGATCATTTTATAGGCGTACATATAAAGCAAACAAAATAGTATTTTTGGTTAAAAATTACATCATTTTTTTAAAAAATAAATAGACGCAGATCATATGTTTCAAAAGGCGCTTCATATGGATTATTCTGAGAGAGATTTGTAATTGGAATAAAGGTCAGATGAATTTTCTGATTATAAAAAAAAAATACTCCCTCCATTTTAAATTACTTGATGTATTGATTTTTTTAAAAAAAATTTAAGAAAATTGGAAAAAGTTACATTAATATATAAAAAATGATGTGCTTTTAAATGTTGCTATTGGAATTTGATAGTTTTTATATTTTGGACAAAATGGAAATTTTTTAAAAAAATATATAGAAAATTCAAAATAACAATCATTTTAGAAAAACTGATTTGAAATGGAGGGAGTAAACTTTCTTTTTGGAAAGACGAGCAATTGAAAAGAGGATTAATGATAAAGCAGAGGATAATTATCGCACGCGTGATCCATGTACAGTCCGGTTCTCGTCTGACCCGCTGTTCTTGCTCCGTTTTGTGTTTTCCCTCTACGGGTCCGATGAACGGCGTTTTAGTATTGGGCCTCTTAAAGCCCAATTAGAATTATGGGTCATAGGAAAAGCCCATTATTTTGAAACTGGCTCTTCTGTACTCTTTTTGGACCTATTGGGGTCAATTTTGATTTTTAATTCTGCTCATCAAGAAGATGCCTCACTGAATTTTTTGAACTTAAAAAAAAAGCTTGAAATTACAAAACAAAAAAAAAAAAAAAAAAAAACGGGATTATTGATTTTTAGGTGGTTTGTACTCCAAACAAAAAAATATTTTTTTTTTCATATAGTTTAATCATTAACAAACAATAAAATTTTCTCGATCCATTTATGTACTTATCATATTCAACAGGCGAAGAGATCGAACCTAACTTTCGTTGACAAAAATAACCAAGCGTGCAATATGTTTAGGGATATTTCTTTTATCATTTCTCGTAAACGCTAAAGAAAACGGGATATATATTCTAGCCAAATAAATAGTTAAATACACACAAGGAAATCCTAACAATAATTCTCGTTATGCTTATTTTTTGTCATTATTTTATATCCGGTAATGTATTAATTAAAGATTGTGAATTTCGAAAAGCAAATTTGCAGAACCCTGTTTATTCCTTATAAGGTCATAATTATCAATGAAAATCGACGTGGAATAATCGAATCACACCGGCCATTGATACTTTCCCCTTCTTTTTCGTAAATTAATTTTTCTTTTGGTATATATATGTTCTTTTTTTTTTATAAAATATCATTGCTTTGTATTTTACAGAATCTATACGTAAGATTTGAATATATTCTCTTTTCCTATATCTATTTATATTGCATTACCAATTTGCATGGTATCTGCGCTCTTCACTAATCAATATTTATCCATCATATTAAACAAAATGGGCATTAATGGCTTCAAAATCAATATGTTTTTTTTTATGATTCATCAATGTATATCTTTGCGCATATGGTGTGTGAATAAGAGGTGGATATATATATAAAATTATTGTTGCGAATATTATTCATTACTTATCACAAAATATTCCGATTTATGTTTTGAATGGGAAGTAAAAGATCCATAAAAACCAACATTTTTCACCTTTTCAGTAAGTAATTATTCGAAAACTTATAAATAAATTCAATTTAATCAGACAAATATTTATTCTAGGCAAAGGCTCACCATTTTTTATACTATAAAATAAAATAAAAAGAGAAGACAAAAGTCATTTTAAAAGATCGTCACTTCTTTGGTCATTTCACGTTCTCTTTCCTTTGGTATGTTGAACTTGCAATGTAAGTTTTTTTTTTAATAAAAAAAATATATATTGTAGTTGAAATAATCGTATCAAATCACATCCTGTAGATAACGTTTCGGCGTTTTTTGACATCAAATCACAAATTAGGTTCGGAGGGTTACTGATTTGAATGCATTGGCAAAAGCTTAGTAGCGTGACGTCATAATTATTCTACACCATCAACTTATAGCATATAATCCAACGAAAATGTGAAAATATTAGCTATGAATAATACTTCAATATATATATACACGCACACATAAAGTTATGAACCTAACAAATGGTTAAACGAATTAAGAGTTTAGGCTCTATTAATGTGTTACTTTTGTTAGTTTATTTGGGTTGGTTTCAAAATTTGGGTTTGTTTTTCTAGTAAAATGAATTGCTCACCAAATAGTTTAAATGGACTCCCTCTCTCTATACATACATGCATATATATATATATATATATATGTATAAGATTCAAGGTTTTTTTCCTTTGTAACCGGTATGATGGACCGATGTCCGGACTATAATTCTAAGAATCGGAAAACTCATGTGAATGTTCTTTCCCATGTTATGAAACAATTTTCTCTTGATCTCTATTTCTTTTCTTAATTCTTCTATATTTTTATCAGGAAAGA